TGTCACCCTTGCAGCCCTGCTCGCCCTTCTCTCCCTGTTTGCCAGCCGCCCCCCGCGTGCCCTCGGCGCCCGTGTCCCCTTTGCTGCCCTTTTCCCCCTTGGTGCCGCCTTCCCCTCTGTCCCCCTTGGCCCCTCTCCCCCCCGGCTCCCCACAGTATCCCTTTTCCCCCGTGTCCCCCTTTTCTCCCTTGTCCCCCTGTTCTCCACCCGCTCCCGGCTCTCCAGGATCCCCCTTGTCCCCTTTGTCGCCTTTGGTGCCGTTGTCACAGGTGTCCCCTTTGGCACCCTTTTGTCCCTTCAGTCCAGGGAAGCCGTGGTTGCCCTTATTGCCTTTGGCTCCAGCTTCACCTGAGGGGGAAAAAGAAGATTAAAACCGATAAAACTGGATTACTCTGGAGATGGAAGGACCATCCAAAAGGCTTGGTCCTTCCATGCAGAAAAACCCAGAAAGGTCAGAGTGATCCTGGATTTTCCAGACCCACCTTGCAGCCCAGGTTTCCCTGGATAACCGGGGCTTCCACTCACTCCTCGCTCCCCTTGCTCCCCTTTTCCTCCTGGGACATTCCAGCATGAATGAATGAATGAATGAATGAATTAATTAATTAATTAATTAATTAATGGGTGTTGGTGTGTGAAGTGCAGCAAACACCAAACCCCGCTGGGACCATCTGTGTGTGTCCCTCACAAACAAAATTAAAATTAAAATTAAAATTAAAATTAAAATTAAAATTAAAATTAAAATTAAAATTAAAATTAAAATTAAAATTAAAATTAAAATTAAAATTAAAATTAAAATTAACAAAACAGACATGAGCAACATGAGTTTTAAAGAAACACCTGCAGGAACCTCAGCTGGACCCCACAGCCCCCAGCACCACATCACCCCAAGATTTCTCTCTGCAAGGCTGTGGCTGCTGTTTAGTGGAAGATGGAGAAGGTGGCAGCTCTGCATTCCTCACTCCAGGGTAGCCAAAAACCTTTTTCCAGGAGTGAATCGCTGCCTAAGGGGCTGCAGTGACTGAACAGCAGCACGCTCTGATGCTGGGACCCCGGTGATTCTCCAGAGGCAGCAGCAGGATCTGTCAGGATAATGCTGCTCCAAGCCCCAAACGAAGGGCAGGGTTTCCTTTCAGGAATACTGATGGATCATGATTGCTCAGCATCTTAACTGAAGTGCTTTTGCCTCTGAGATATTGAAATTGAAATGCAGATTTTACACCTGCACACGACTTCCTTTGGTGGCGTTTTCCTACTTCTGTCCTTAATCTAAAGCAAGCTGAACCCAGATTTTGAACTCTTGTTCAGAACAAGAATTTTTTAGTGAGATCTTTATGAGCAGCTGCTCCTATTCCACCTGAACAAACACTGCCACCACCTGAGTTCCTGTCCCTGCACTGATGCCAGCTGAACCTCTCCAGGCCTCAATCCCTAGCAGCAATCTTCTTTTGCTTTGAAAAAATATGGCTTTTTAATAATTTTGTGGTATTTTATGAGGACAACAGCATTTTCCATTAGCCTGGTTTACCTCTTTCTCCTTTAGAGCCCTTTGGACCTTGAGAGCCAGGAGTTCCCGGCAGCCCTGGCAGCCCAGCATCTCCCTTCTCCCCTCTGGGACCTGTAAAATCAACAAAATGATCTCAGTAACTCCAAGGTTTAACTTTTAAATGACATTTTCATCAGTACCTAAGCAATGTGGCATTGAGGAGTGTGTATGAGGTGATTCCATCACCTTGGGAAGAGCTGCTTGTTTTATTTGACATCATCAAATCTCTCAGCTTTGCATTTCACTCGGGGTCGTAGTTAAAGAGTTTTTAAAACCAACTTGGAGCTGCGTCAGAGCCACAGGAGCTCAGAGCTTCATAAAACATCAGAAATTAATCTCTCTTTAATATCTGAGCACATCCAAGGAGCTGCCACACCTTTGGAATTGTCCCTTTCCTTAAGGAGAATTAATTCTGCAAATACAGAAGAGGAACCTGGCCCAGAGCTCCACGCTGCAGAAAGGAGGCACTGAAATCTTTTCCCTTTTCCATCCCCTTGGGAACCCAGAGATTCCCAGTGCCTGTCTGGGAGCAGATTATGGCACCTTCAATCATCACAAGGACTTTTCCATCAAGAGATGAGAGATCAAAATCCCTTTACAGCCACCACGATTTCCATGAGCCAACCGTTCCCAAGCCATGGGAAGAGAAAATCCCTGGAGTGCTTTGAGTTAAAGGAGAATTATTTCATGGTTTTCCCACCTTTCCTCAGATGGATAGTTCCTATCCCCAATATTAGTGCTATTAAAGTGAACATTTGCAGACTAATGCACTATTCATTAGAGCAGGAGCAGAATTAGGTGCTCTCTGCATGTGTGTTTTAGCAGTAAAAAGAAGATAAATAGTGTATTTTATGAAATATTTAGGTCCTTTTATAGAGAGCTGCTTCTTGTGCTTTATTTATATATTTTTAAAATTGAACCTTTTTTTTTTTAATTTTCTCTTTTGAAATGGGGGAAAAAAATGAAAAAATAATAATAAAGGAGTAAAGATGCAAAATTGCTTGAAGGTAATTTTGGAGGTCATAAAGCCATGGTTGAAGTGAATGTGGAATTAAAGCTGTGAATCCAAGGGGGTGAGGGACAGAGAATTGAGGAGCGTGGCCTCCTTCCAGCAGGGATTTGGGATAGTCCCAAACTCCGGGGTCAGGAATTCCCAGGGACAGAGAATTGAGGAGTGTGGCCTCCTTCCAGCAGGGATTTGGGATAGTCCCAAAATCCGGGGTCAGGAATTCCCACTCACACTGGTGGTTTGTAACTTCCAGGATGTGGCTGACATGAACTTTTGTGCTCTGGATTCACACAAATCAGAATCACATCCCACATTTCATAGAATTATGGAATCACAGAATCTCCTGAGCTGGAAGGGACCCCCAGGGATCCTCCAGCCCAGCTCCTGTTCCTGCACAGGCCCCACAACAATCCCACCCTGTCCAAGCATTCCTGGAGCTCCAGCGGGGCCGTGCCCGTTCCCTGGGGATCCTGGGCAGCGCCCAGTTCTGGGGAAGAACCTTTCCCTAAAACCCCAAACCCACCCCAAAGCTCTCCTGGCCCAGCTCCAGCCATTCCCTGGCTGCTGTCCCCATCCCAGGGAGCAGTGACCGGAGCTGCCCCTCGGGAAGAGCTCAATGTGCCCCCGTGAGCTGCACAAATCCCACCAAATGGTTTCCTGAGGGAAAAGGCCCTGGATTTGGTGTTTGTAGCCCAGCAGAGAGGGGCTCAGCCCACCTGGGGGTCCCTGTGGCCCCGGCCAGCCCCGAGGCCCCGCCGTGGGTGGGCAGCAGTCGCAGCAGTTGAAGAAGAACTCGGCCGAGTCCAGCGTGGAATTCTCCAAGGGGAAGAGCGTGGGGAACTCAGCTCTGCCGGGCGCTGCCGGGAATGGGATTTTCCCCGGGACAGATGGGGAAGGTTTGGGCTTGGTGTAGAGCACGGCTGGGGTGACCTTCAGCGCCGCGCGCGCGGGGACGACGGCCAGCACCAGGAACAGCAGGATGGGCCCCAGGCAGCTCCACATGGCAGCAGCTGTGGGAAAACATGGCACCAAATCCCTGTCCAACATCCTTTGGCTCTTCCCTAAAGCCAGGACAAGGCCCTGGATGTGAAGGTGGTGAGGCCCTGGCTCTGCTTTCCCAGAGAAGTTGTGCCTGCCCCATCCCAGGAAACGCTTAAGGCCAGGTTGGGTTGAAGGGACCTTAAATCCCATCCCATTCCATCCCTGGGACACCTTCCACTGCCCCAGGCTGCTCCAAACCTTGGACACTTCCAAGGGGCAGCCACAGCTTCTCTGGGAATCCCATCCCAGCCCCTCCCCACCCTCACAGGGAGGAATTCCTTCCCAAAATCCCATTCAACCCCACCCTTCTTCAACTCCAGGCCATTCCCATTATCCCAGCACTCCATGCCCTTGGGGAAAAGTTTCTCTCCATCTCTCTTAAAACCCTACTTTGGTCCTGGAAGGATAGGGATTGAATTCTGGAATGATTTCAGAGTCCAGTACAGCTACACTCAATAAAAAGCTTTTCTCTAAAAGAATAAAAGGAAACAAAAATGAAACAGCAAGTTTTCCAAACTCAGGCACTTTGGAGTATCAAGAATACCAAAAATTTTATCTTGATTTTTTTTTTTCCCCCCTTTGTTTCCACCTGATTTTTCTGGATTTTTTAATGTAAACTTTCACATCTGCTCTTTTTATTTTTAAAGTGGTGATTCAGCTGACCCAGGAGGAGAGGACCGAGGCAGAAGGCCCCAGGTTTTCCTGTGGGCAGGTGACGCCTCTCAGGTGACTCGTCACAAAAAGCACCTTTGTTCCTTTTTTAAAGCAGGGTCCCCAGCAGTAAATGCAAACAGAGTCCCTTTCTTGCTGAAGGTGAAACCCAACCTTCCTCAGGAGCCACAGCATTCCACAGCATGGGAAAACCTCCAGGAGAGACCCTCCTATCCCTGTCATCCAGAGGGAAGAAGGAGATCCAACTCCAAACCCAGCATTCGGGGGCTGGATTAGAACCTTTCCATCACTAACCATTCTGTTTTAGAGGAAAAATCACTTTTTAGAATGATTTTCCTTTTTTTCCTCACCATTTTCAAACAAAATGAAATCATTTAATGGAAAATTGATTCCCCAAATAAAACCCCCAGTGGTCACTGTTGCCCACTGGGGCCATTCAATCCACAAGGATAAATAACCCCTTCTTCATGAGTGTGCTTCATTAGAATGGGATTCCATGCCCAGATTTTTGTCCTAAATTGGGATTTTCTTTTCCCTACCAGCCTTACCATGAAGAGTTTTCCTGGGAATTGATGTGGAGGGAGATGCTCAGCACCAGGGAGCAGCCAGAGCCTGCAGCTGCAGCCACAGAGAAAAAGGAGAAAAAGGAGAAAAAGGAGAAAAAGGAGAAAAAGGAGAAAAAGGAGAAAAAGAAGAAAAAGGATCATCTGCTACCTGGAAAGAGGGAAAAAAAACCTGAATTTTCCTTTGGAACAGTATCCTCACACAGAAGTGTCCTGTAACACCTGAAGATAAGTGAATAAAGCCATTTCCACACAAAAACCCCCAGTGATTTTAAGGATTTAATAATTTTATGATGAAATTCTAAATCAGTTCTCAAATTCAATCCATTCCTAAGTTTTCCTGTCTCACATCACAAGCCCCAAATCCAGCTACATTCCAGTTCTGCAGCCAGATTGATGGATTGCTGTCAAACACTGGGAAAACATAATTAATAACCAAATTATACACCAGCCTGAAAAAATGAAATCCTCAGAGCAAGGTATCACTAAACAGATTTTCATTTTAATGGGCAAAACTGTTCCTATGTTAATTGTTCTTAAATAATTATTTTCAGATTTTTTTTTACATGCCAGGGGCTTGGAACAAGATGATTTTTAAGGTCTCTTCCAACCCAAACCAGTCTGTGATTCTAAATAAATGCACTTAAATAAAACTGCAATTTTGGACTTTTTCATTACATTAATTCACCACCACTGAATAGAAAATCATTCATAGGAACCCCCCCAATAAAATTATAATTCACACAAAATAGGAAGACTTAAACTGTGCTGCAGTGTCATATAATCCATAAAATTAATCTCCATTTCATTAGATCTAAATACCACTAATCATTAACATATTTCCCATAATAAGATGGTAATAAATGCACTTGTTTTTTTGTGTGCTCCCTAAAATTCCAGATATTCCAGTTCACAACAGGAATTTAACCTAAATCCATTAATTTTAAATATCAGACTGCACTTTATCTTAATTATTTCTAGTTCTTAGATGTGTGAGGAAAGAAAAACCCTAATCCTCATGCAGTTATACATTGATTATAGACAGGATTTTTTCCTGGAGACAAATTTCCTACCTTATAAACACTCCTGTTCCCTGGAGAACCCCCCCTCCATGGCACCTGGAAAAAGGAAATCTTATTTTGGGAGAGGATCAGTTTTATTTTGTCCCAGCTGCTGCTGTGGCCAATGAGAACCTGCAGGGGAGACGAGAGGGGATTGGCAAAATCCCCTGCAAGGAGCAAGGTGACACTGAAATCCCTGGAAATCAAACCCTGGGATCACAAAATTCCCCTACAAGGACCAAGGAGGCACCAAAATCCCAGGAAATCAAACCCTGGGATCACAAAATTCCCCTACAAGGAGCAAAGTGGGATCAAAATTCCAGGAAATCAAACCCTGGGATTGGCAAAATCCCCTGCAAGGAGACACTGAAATCCCTGGAAATCAAACCCTTTTTTTTTTTTCCAAATTATCAAATTGTGAATTAAGTGCTTGAGAGAAATAAAACCTGAAAATGAAAGGGGAAATATTTGGGTTTTGTCTTTATAGTTGTTCTGTTTTCAGTTTAAATTTGAGGGTAGAGGGGATTCATTCGTGATGAGAACTTTAAATCCTGCGTGGGGTAAAAATTATTTCATTTACATTGAAAAAGAGCAATGGTTCATGTAGGATTTTAAGTGCTTGACTAGAGAAAATACATTTATAGGGATTTCTGTTGGATTCAGAGGGATAAAATGGTCTCCCTGTAAATCCAGTTACATTTGGTGTCACTAAAATTCAGATATCAGGGGGAAGATGAGATGGGGAAATCCTGCATCAGTCTGTGCCAGCAGCTCCCACAACCCAAATCCCCTAAATCTGCAGGATGGCAGCACATAAAGGATTTATCATCCCTTAAATTTACTGCCTAGGAGATCCAAAAGTTTCTATTTCCCAAAAATAACCATTTGGGGAGTTATTTGAGAACTCCCTGGTGCCTATTCCAGTCTCTGGAGTCGATCCCTCTGAGAGTCCCAAAATGCAGATTCAAAGCACCAGAAACCCGCGGTTATTTCTGGGAGACACCAGAACTACAGCTCAGGAATCATTCTGGGCTCAGCTCCCACACTGGGGCTGGGTTTTAAAGCCTTTTTTGGGATGTAAAACATATTCCCCCAGGTGTTATCCCAAACCCCTCTCCAGGATTTCCTTTGTCGGGAGGTCTGGGCTAAGAAACTCATCCATTGTCTCCTCTGGGAACTCGAGCCAGCCAAAGGGGAAAAGGGATGGAATTACCTGGCTCCCCTTTTGCACCGGGGTCTCCCTTTGTGAGGCGGCCCTGGCATGTCATGGACACCCTTTTTTCCTGGGAAATGTTGTTTTTCCTTGTGTGTTTGGGAAACAAAACCGTCCTCGAGAGCCATGGATTTGCTTTTTTTGCCCTCCTCGTGCCCAGCACCAGATTTCAGGGGAAATGAGGGGGGCTGGAATTCCAGGCTGGAAGGTGAGAGCGGCTCATTCCTGCCGGGCAGAGCTGTCATTCCCTCCCCCAGCCCCAGCAAAACCACTGGAATCATCATTTAATCCCGGCAAATCCATTCAGCACCCTGCATTAATCATCTTTTTATGAGCTAAAGGGCTTGGGGATGGAATTCAGGAGAGGAAGAGTCCCCTTGCAGGTGATCTCACCAGGGCAGGGGTTGTGAAACTCCTCAGAAATAAGGAAATGGAAAGCTCTGGTTTCCTTTCACCCAAATTCTTCTTGGCTCTGGCAAATCCGTGCTGTGTGATAAAATCCAGGGTTCCAGCACAGGTCGGAGTGCTGCAGCACCTTCAAATCACAGCAGGAAGCAAAAATCTGGGAATAAAACTGTCTGTGTGTGCTGGGCTCAAAGAATTTGGGGGGTTTATGGTATTTAGGGAATTAAAAAGCAAAGGAGAGTGAGAATTTTAATTTTTCTTGATATACAAACTGGTTGCAAGGGGTCTGGATCCACATTAAAATCAGAGGGAAGATTCCCACTGATTTCCTTGGAAGAGATGCCTTAAACTCCCCACCTCCTCTGCAACACAAAAAATAAACAGGGGGATGCATAACAGTAATAAATTATAAATCATTGTAAAAAACAGCATTTTTTAGTCATTTCCATCTCTTCTTTCTCATTTCCATCTCTTCTTTTTCATTTCCATCTCTTCTTTCTCATTTCCATCTCTTCTTTTTCATTTCCATCTCTTCTTTTTCATTTCCATCACTTTGTTTTTCCCTTGGAGAGGGAGAAAGAGCAAACTGTGCTGAGGTGGGAAGGATTCCTCGGGTTCCAGGGAGGTGCCAGAGCCTCCAGATGCGGTGACAGCTGTGCCAGATGTCACCTCGTGCTGGAATGGGAGACAAAAGAAAACAAAAAGGGGTTTCAGGCTGGCAGGTGGAACAGGGATGGCCGGGCAGGAACGGGATGGAGAAGGAAAACACAGGAAGTTTTGGGAAACGCAGAAATTGCTGCTCCAGGTGAGGCTCAGCACAAGAGGGAGCTCCAGGAGCTCCCAACAGCTCTGCCAGTGACAGGTTTGCAGCTGAAGCACAAAAATCAGGGAATATCCCGGTTGGAATGGCCCCACAGGCATCATCCAATCCAATTCCTGCCCGCCCTGTCCAAACATCCCTAAGAATTAATGACCCCACAGACCCCGAGCCATCCAGATCCATCCAGGACAAGCACAGTGCTCTAAACCAAACATTTTTCCGGGATAACTTCCCAAAATGGAATTTTTTGGAACACAAAATTCAATTTCTGAGAGACCTGCACTGCTCAGACCTTTTTGCACTGGGAGCAGTAAACTAT